CCCGCCCGCGGCGTGGCGGCTGCGGGACTTAACGAGGAATTGGGGTTTCAATTAAAAAACGGCTTTGAGCTTAGGGAGTCAGGGAAGGGCAGACCCCCCCGTCCCCGTGTCCCCCCCTCCCTCAGTGTCCCCTCCCCTGTCCCAGTATTAATCCGCTGCCTCGCGCGCGGGCCGGATCCTGCACCCAGCTCGCCTTTAATCCCTCCTGAGCCTCCCGGCACCCGGGGGGGGGCCCTGCACCCCAAATCCTGGAGGAGACCCCCCTCCCAACATTCTTGACACCCCAAATCGTGGCTGTGAGCAGCAGGGATGTCCCCAACGTCCTTCTGTCTGTCCCCGGGGACACCAGTCCCAAGGTGCTGGGGGGAGATGGAGCGGGGCTGGATGCAGGCAGAAGGTTCCCGAGGTGGGGACTGCTGTGTCCCCCCCACACCGCGGGGAGGAAGTGGCAGGGGTGGAGGTGACACCCACGTGCCCCCTGTGATTATGGCCACCAAAAGAACCCCTCCTGAGGTCAGGAGGCTCCACAGGACATGTGGGCCTGGTTGGGTGGCCAAGGACCTCCCACGGGCCACGGAGAGCCCGGTTGGGTGGATGGAGGGGACCTCCCATGGGCCACGGAGAACCTCGTTGGGTGGACGGAGGGGACCTCCCACAGGCCACGGACAGCCCAGTTCAGGGGGTGGAAGGGACCTCCCATGGGCCACGGAGAGCCTGGTTGGGTGGACGGAGAAGGATGTCCCATGGGCTGCAGCCAGCCTGGTTGGGTGGACAGAGAGGACCTCCCATGGGCCATAGAGAGCCCGTTGGGTGGACAGAGAGGACCCAAGCACAAGGCTCCCGGGGGAACGCGTCTTACCAGCTCATCCAGGTTCTTCAGGTCGCAGAGGGAGATGGGCCGGGCCCTGCCGGGGTAGGCAGCCACCTGGGTGTCCCGGCTCTCCTGGCGCGTACCCAGCACGCCGTAGCCCATTTGGTCCCTCATCTCCTCCTCGATCTCCTCCTCCATCTGGATCAGCATGGGGGCCAGCATTGGGGTTTCAATTAAAAAACGGCTTTGAGCTTAGGGAGTCAGGGAAGGGCAGACCCCCCCGTCCCCGTGTCCCCCCCTCCCTCAGTGTCCCCTCCCCTGTCCCAGTATTAATCCGCTGCCTCGCGCGCGGGCCGGATCCTGCACCCAGCTCGCCTTTAATCCCTCCTGAGCCTCCCGGCACCCGGGGGGGGGCCCTGCACCCCAAATCCTGGAGGAGACCCCCCTCCCAACATTCTTGACACCCCAAATCGTGGCTGTGAGCAGCAGGGATGTCCCCAACGTCCTTCTGTCTGTCCCCGGGGACACCAGTCCCAAGGTGCTGGGGGGAGATGGAGCGGGGCTGGATGCAGGCAGAAGGTTCCCGAGGTGGGGACTGCTGTGTCCCCCCCACACCGCGGGGAGGAAGTGGCAGGGATGGAGGTGACACCCACGTGCCCCCTGTGATTATGGCCACCAAAAGAACCCCTCCTGAGGTCAGGAGGCTCCACAGGACATGTGGGCCTGGTTGGGTGGCCAAGGACCTCCCACGGGCCACGGAGAGCCCGGTTGGGTGGATGGAGGGGACCTCCCATGGGCCACGGAGAACCTCGTTGGGTGGACGGAGGGGACCTCCCACAGGCCACGGACAGCCCAGTTCAGGGGGTGGAAGGGACCTCCCATGGGCCACGGAGAGCCTGGTTGGGTGGACGGAGAAGGATGTCCCATGGGCTGCAGCCAGCCTGGTTGGGTGGACAGAGAGGACCTCCCATGGGCCATAGAGAGCCCGTTGGGTGGACAGAGAGGACCCAAGCACAAGGCTCCCCGGGGGAACGCGTCTTACCAGCTCATCCAGGTTCTTCAGGTCGCAGAGGGAGATGGGCCGGGCCCTGCCGGGGTAGGTGGCCACCTGGGTGTCCCGGCTCTCCTGGCGCGTACCCAGCACGCCGTAGCCCATTTGGTCCCTCATCTCCTCCTCGATCTCCTCCTCCATCTGGATCAGCATGGGGGCCAGCATGCCAAACTTGGAGCCCCTCCTGGCCACCTCCAGCAAGCAGAGGACAAAGTTCTTCTCGTTCTTCTTCAGCACCAAGTCATTGGTCTCGAACATGAGGACATCCTGGATGCCGAGGTCCTGCCGGCACCACTGGATGAAGTTGGAGACGTTATCCCGGGCGATGAAGGAACCGGGCACCACATTCTTAGCTTGGAAGATGACCTCGTTCTGGGGGACGCGCATATGGGCGCCCACCTCAGGGTGCCGCTGCTGGAAGTCCAGGGCGATGCGGTTGACGTTGTTGGCGTGTCGGCAGAGGTGACAGCCCGTCTCCAGGCTCTCCAGGAAGTTGTCCACCTGGATGTCCAGGTCGTAGAGGGTGTTGAACCACTCAGCCAGGTCCTCCTTCATGGCCTCCAGGTACTCCTCGCTGGAGCGGAAGGGACGGATGCTCTTGGAGGCGGCCGACTGGATGTGGCTGGGGTCGGCCATGGCGAGCTGCTGGCCCTGGGGGTGGGGGGGGGACAATGGGAACTGGTACAGGCAGATGTGGGCAGGGAACCCCCCTATACCCCC